AAACTATAACACTGTAATACGAAAATACTAAAATTCTAGTAGTACTTTCATAACCTAGGTAATACATTCCAAGACTTAACCGCACATAATATTGAATGCTGTAATGCATAGGTGTCTAAAGTGAGGCCCACGGGACGTATGCGGCCCAAACGCAAATTATGAAAGTATTTAAATTTACACATTTTTATTAAAAAAATAAATGTTTGATTTATATATAATCGATTCATTGACATTTATTTAAAAATAATAACATCTTAGTATGTCATGATGCAAAGTGGCATTCAACTGAAAGAAAAATTTGAAAATGTTTCTTTACTGGAGTTTTATAAAACTTACCTACCCGGTGATAAATATTCTAATTTTCACAATCATGCTTTATTAATGTCTTCAGCTTTTGGCTGTATCTATATTTGTGAATAATTATTTTCAGAAATAAAGCATACAAAAAACAAAAATAGGACAAAGATCACTGACTAACATCTTGAAAATGCATTAAGAATTGCAACCTTGTCTATTGAAACTGATATTGATTTGCTTGTTCAACAAAAGCAAATTCATCCATCTCATTAATTTGAATTTTTTCCATCTTTACGAAACCCAAACTACAAATTAATAATAAATATGTACGTATAACAAACCTAATTCAAATGAAAAATAATAATAATAATAAAAAGTTATTTTAATAAAACAACATAAAGCTAATTTTTATTTCAATTTGATTAAAAAAATATTGTATGTATGGACCCACAAATTTTTTTTCTTTGCAATGTGGCCCTCAAACGGTTATAATTTAGACACTCATGCTTTAAAACATGATGAAAATAAAATTAACAGTTAATGTATTTACTATTGCTTGGATAAACTTAGTAGTGTAGCAGATACCAATATAAATTAAATACCAATATTAATTGATTAAGCATTGGTGGAATTTACATAATGTTCTACACTAGATCAAATAAAATTACCTGAAAATTACTAGGTGGCAGAATGAGATTTGTTCAATCAAAGTTTTGTTAATTCAATAAAATTCTGGTGGAAAAGATGAAAACCCAATGAAGTAAATGCTAAAAATTAAAAACCAGGAGATTCAGTGTTTTACCAGAAGATGTGAAGAAAAATTGACCGGGCACTAATTGACCTTACCAAGAAACTGGGCAGCTGTGGAATACATATGACAGCAACCTCAATCTGCTGCTGGTATAGCAACGGGATGAATATACACTTCAGCCTTCCCGTCTCCATAAAAATTCCAATTATTCATATCAGGGTATTGGGTAGGGAAAGCAATGGAGTCATTTCATCCCATTCAATGCCGCTACATTTGTGATTAACATGTGCTCCATCATGCTTTTACTTAGGACTAGGGCATATTTTCCAGTCACCAGTAATATGTGTTCCAAGAAGCCAAAATTCTGGTAACGTCACAGCATTGATGGCAGGAAACAAAGTCATCTGCAATGATTTCTTAGCATACATTTGGATGAAAGTATACTTGATGTAAACAACGGACGATGATTTGGAGAGTGACAGTCAACTAGTAATTGCTAAAAATAACAACTTGCAGGAAATGAGTTTTACTTGCCAGTAAATTAGGCAAAAATCTGGAACTTCCGTTTAGATTGCCTTTTTCTTCCCTTTGTTATCGAAATTATTATGAACCCAATGTTTACTTTTCATTTTAAAAAACAGATAATTTTTAATATTTCTACTGAAAACAATTTTATTGATTTTAAACTACAAAATACACAAGATTTTACCTGAAATCTTCAAAAATTCTGATTTAGATCAGTAATGAATATTGAGAATCGGGAAGAAAACAAAAGAAATTCAAGAGAATTAGAAAATAGGCCTGCTATGTAGTGCATCTAAGAAAAAAACCAAGACCTGTGCAAGCTGACATCAATACGGGATTTTTTCGGTCATCGCAATAAGATTATTTAATTTTATAACTGTAATGTAAATTGCATAATTTATGAGTATTACTGCATTTTAACTTCTCAGATTAAATCAAAAATGTGGTTTTCATCAAACAACTGCCACACCATTTTAGTTACATGAACAGCAAAGACAAAAATGAATCAAAGTCCCAATATTAAAATTAGCAGCAAAGACAAAAAAGTACCTAACTGTTTCCCCCTCCCGTTGAAAAAATTATCTTGATTAATATGAATACCAATTTTGTGAAGTTTACAGATTTCTAATAGTGCACCTGAGCATGAAACTTTGAATTCACAAATACAATGAAATGAAAAGATTGTGAAAATTAAAAATTTCTATTTCTTGACTTCATATTTATGTGTGTGCAACAAAAATTACATGCTTTAACCTCCATTAAATTACATGCTTTAATACTCCATTCATTGATGTCTGATTTATAAAAAAATTCTCAAAAATAAGAATGCAATGATAAATTACAAAAGGGAATACAGAACTATTTCACTGATGTTTTTTTACATGTTTTGTACTATGAAGAATTCAATACAACTTTTCTAACAGTGTCAAATTTTCTGCATAAAAATTAACATGTGTCTACGTAGAGAAAAACAGAACATCATTTCCTTTCATCATGTTGTCTGTGCCAAAACTTTTAATCAGTTTTAAGATAAACACACTTATATGTTTGACTTTTTTGGGTGAAAATCTAGTTGCCTTCTACGTAAGACTTTTATAATTGTCTTTACTATATATAGTATTAAATATGAAGAAAAACTGCTTTTTGCTTTAAAATGAATTTACCAACAAACACCAGGGTAAATTCAAAGCAGTAGACCAAAAATGTAGACTTGACCTTTTGTTAAGAGGTATATCTAGTTTGATCAAACAAAATTCACAGTCCTCTTGAAGAAAAATGATGCATCTAATAAGAATATACACACAACATTTAAATCTATTCAGAAATTTCCTACATGCAGCTTTATTTTATATGCCTCCTATAAACATAAGATTACATTTTTAAATCGTGAAGTTAAAAATGAAAAATGGTTAACCATTCTAGCAGCAAGCTGTAGTATAATACATAATCACATACATATTATAATTATCAGAATAAAATCTGTTTCCAAGGTTTTACTTCTAATGCTGTTGAAAAAAAGGAGAAAATTAAAGCATTATTTCATCAAAGCCAAGCAATTCAAAGGTATAATAAATTAGCCTCAGTTACTTTACATCATAATAATTTATCACCCAAATTACTGCCTTCCTTTTAAGAATACAAGGTGATTATTATTGTTGCAGTTGTCATTTCAAAATAGTTTGGAAATAAGAACCCATGTTTAAAATCAATTGAAATTTTGCAGAAATACTAATGAAGCAATAAAATTTTGTTTGAAGTACAAAAAAGTTAAATTTAGTGTTACGTCGCACTGAGGTTCATACTAGCAGCATCAAAAAATGAAAATTATTTTGAATCTTGGGCACATAGCAAGCATTTTCAATAAAAGAGGCAACACATATTAGGCTAGCTGTTACTTGTGAAAATCTGAATTGCTCTATTGCAATGACTATCACTAAAAGACTGCATTCTTCTTGTAAAACTATTTAATCAAAATTACAGTTCTTGGGGGGGGGGAGGCTTCTGGAAAATTTACAATAAATAAAAAAAAAAAAAAAGGTCAAATATCTGCAAACTGCTGGCATGAAATGATTTATAGTTTGAAAATACTTGTTTCCTGGAAGAGGACAAAGATCAGTTGAAGCCACAGCATTACAGGAAGACAATGATGTTCATGAATCTATCCATTAACACTAACCAATCACCACACCCTTCTATACAATGCAAACATAAGAATGACAATGGAACTTTCTGTAAACTGACAAAGCATATTCCATCTTCAAGGTACTCTTAATATGGAATATTACAAAATCTGGGCAACTGAAAATCTACACGTGACCTACATTTGCAGTTATAAATATTGTCAAATTTTACTTCCTTATTTTTTTAAAAAGAAGTGAATCATAAAGATCCTGTTATTGCAACATCAATAAGGCAGCTACTTTGCTATCATTTCAGAAATGAGAAATATACCTGTCAACTTTCTATTAGACGAAGGACACTATACTTATTCATCAGACTTAGACCAATGTAACTTTCAGCTTTGGGGAACAATTTGCAGATTTAAAGTGGAAGTGAAAGCCATTATTATGCATTGTATCTTCTAGTTAGCTTTCTTGTTCAGCTTACTAATTTGCAACTTCAGTTTCTATCAAAACAGCAGCATATTTAACAGTGAATATATCATTTTGGATTGTTAATTTCTTTTACATTGCTCTCCATTGTAAATGGCAATTAACCCTCTGGCAAACTTTAACCTTTTGAGGCCGGGGCTTTGGTAGCAGTAAAAACTACCAAAGGATGGGGAATCTTGAACCAAATGCTTTCCCCCTTTAAGAAATCACCTATTTGCAACAAAGATTCTTGTGTGTAGTTTAATGGATTCTCAGAGGGGTGCATCTATGTCACAAAAGGAAGACCTTTGAAAGAGATAAGTGGTTAAAACCTCAGGGGTGTCAAATTTGAGGTCACCCCACTTTTCAGCCTGGAAAATGGGGGAAAAAGACATGGCCACTAAAGTGGACAACCCTGTCTTTTCAAAGAGAGTAAGGCCACTATAATGGCCATCCTGTCTTCAAAAGGTTAACTATTCACCACAGTTCCATAAGCTTACTCGTGGATTTTTAAGTCTGGTTTAAGTTCTCATTTAAGACTAGTTTGACATATGGAGTTAAAAATTATAACTACTCTACACTTTAACTTGATTAAGTATAATTTGTAAAAAAATTTTAAAATACTTCTGCGGAAAAACAACACACAGCGGTTTCTATTTTTGTACTTAGTGACATTTTATACTTTTCAGCTAGAATAACTACAAGCAGAGGATTAACTTAAGAAATCTAAAAACTTCCAAGAAATTAATATTTATATCTATGTCAAACAAACCTGAAGATAAATAATAATGTAACATGAGAAGTAATACTTTAATCTGTATGTAAGAGTTTAAAAGGAAAATCAATTCTAAAATTTATTTTCATCAAAACAGCTTTAATTAGTCAAAGTTTTCAATAAATTGTGTGTCAAGATGAAACAAATGTTCATAAGAGGCAACAGAGCAGACATATAGAAATGAAAACTGTCATTTATTATCACTGCCACCCATGAAATGATTTGATTCACACACACACACACATGGCAGATAAACATGACAAGAATAAAGATGGAAAACTACAGGCCACTGAAACTACATGACTGCACAAACTAAAATTTTTCAGTTTGACTTTGTACAAGGGGCAGATGATTTAAATGCCCTTACAAAACAAAGATGGGGTAGAAGGTAAGCAGCCTTTGTTTTATGTCCATAACCTGAGACAATTAGTACACAGAAGACAATCATGAAGTATTACAAAAAATATATGTACTCACAAGCTTTAGTCAAAATAGCTAGACAACACAGAGACTACAATGTAAAACAGTTTTGTCAATGTCAACTAAGTCAATGAGTGTTTAAAAAAAACTGGAGCATTATCTAAACAATTGAGCACTGAAAAGTCAAGACCTATAGCAAATGTCAGTTTTAACAAAAAAAAAAAAAAAAAAAAAAAAAAAAAAATTTTTTTTTTGATAAGTAGTCATTTTTAGTTTTGATTAGTATCATTTTCATCAATTTTTACATGCATAAAAAGGGCATGCATAAATTACAAAGCAAGATGCTTGCTTAGCCAAACAATAACATAATAATAATCTGAATAGCACTCAAAAGCAAAGCAAACTATACAGTTTTAACATATCACCTTCACTTGTTAAATACAGTAAAAAATGCACTGAATATGGTTTGCATAGGAGAGTTTGTACATACAGTACTGCATAATACAAAATGGAATATTGTAACAACTCAAGGAACAACATACCAAGCAAATTAACACATTAAATTAGCAACTGAAATTAAGCATTAAAACTGAAATTTTACAAATTTAGTAACACAAGGTACATATAGTGAATATAAGCAACACATTATTAATATCCTGTGCTGCAATTATTGCATTGTCAAATAAAGATCAGTATTTAATATTGCATTTTTTTTCACACAGTTCAGTGAAATTACATTAGATTACTAAAATAATTTAAACAATCATACAAGTAACAGGAATATACAAACAAAATATCTTCCCTTTTGCTCACAATGTAATAAGTTTAATGGAACATACTAAATTCCAAAAGTTTTTTAAAAAATCTTTAAGGAAAATTAAAACAACAGGAAATGTATGCATTAAAATTGAAAAATCCTAAGTTATTTTCATTATTCATTCTTTCAACATTTAAAAAGAAAGAGTTGATATTTTTTCCATATTCATCAAAGTAAAATGTACAAATAAAGTGAGCATAGCCTAAACATAAATATGCAGAATTCTTATCTTCAGTCAGATACAAAATAAATCATAAATTACATGAAAAAATGTAAATCTCCAAAAACACTACACATGGACACTGCAAAAGACAGCACAACAAACTATAATGAAGTTCTGAGTGTGTGAGTATTTTAACATAAAATGACCTCTGCCACAATGAAACACCACAAAACATATTGCAAACAATTAACTTTCTTTATAGAACTGATGATGCAAAATCAGCTTCATTTAACAAAAGCACTTCTTAGAAGGTCTCGAGTACATCAGTGAATGATTTGGAGAAAATAATAACAAAATCAAAATTTCAAATCAGTATTAGTAAAGAAAGTAATTCACACACAAGATTTGTAAATTTTTAAAATTTGATTTTATAAAAAAAATAAGTAATAGTTGCTATTATTAATAATGAACACAAAAGGTCAAAAAAAATTATAATTTTACAATGCAAAAATCACAACCCAGAAACAACTATAGAATAAAGTATCAAACAGGGGTGCCAAAAATTTGTCCAGCTAAGAGTCAGCTGTTTATTGATAATCAACCGTTCACTGAGAAGTAAAATAACATTAATGGTGTTGACAATTTCCTACATAATAAAATCGTTCATTAGTTAGGTAGGTAGGTAAAAAATACTGAAGACAGATTGAGGTTAAGATGCAAAGATATCACAGATGGAAAAGTTTCAATTTCATTATTGCAAGCTTCTACTTATAATGATGCCAACATATCAAGACAATAAAATTACTAAATATCTTCATGTAAACATACAGGTATGCACGAATCTTTATACATACAAAGATACAGACACAACATTTACTGAATGTTCAGTATTGGAACCAAATCCTCAATCTGTAAAGCATTTTTCTTAAAGCAATATTTAAACTGACAGAGAAATACATTATTATGCATATTACTTTTATCTTGCAAGTTTGTATTGCTGATTACTTTGGCACCACCTGTAACATGTATGAGCATAAAGTACTAAACAGGGGAGGCACATCACACACATTTCAAAACCCACAAAAGGAAATAAAAAATAAAGCATGACCTAAGCTTCTAAGGCTTAGCTTCATAAATCTATGATGACTGGAATGATTCCACTACGATATGTTGAGAGCTGATGAAAATGGGCAGAAGATCAACATTAAACACAGTTAGCTGTAAACTGGAAGATACACAACTGAAGACAGGGACAAAACCTTTTGGTTAATGGCCTATCTAAACAGATTTTCTACAAAATATAACACAGAAAACTTTGAGAGGCTATTAGTCATGTGATGCATAATTATGTTGCATTTTCTTGCTTGTTAAAACAAGTACTGCCTGAGACATGATGAAATTCATAATATATTTTACAGTTTCAATGTAATTTAAGAGGTTTACGCTAGCTGGTTTTGCATATTTTTATGAAGCTTGCTGATGGGAGAAGAAAGATGAAATCTTCTGCACTTGTTTCCCTGATATAATAAGGCTGTAGTGATGGGCAGAATAATTATACAACTTTCTTCTCCATTACACTATAAAGGTTTCTTCACACAGTAACAAAATCATATATATATTTATGTATATATATGTATACATCTCTCATGAGTCATTTTATGTGAAGACTACCCATATGATAGTAACTTGAAAGTTCCAACCTGATGTAAGAGTATTTTGACTAAGTGGATTGAAAATGTGTTCTTTGATTTAGTATATCATCTTGCACAATACAATCTTGCATTACTTCCACAAGATGACTGACAATGAATAGAGATGTGGCCGGACTACAATGCATGATACCCACCTTTCATTTTTTTGTCTTTTTCTTATTTTTTTTTTTTTTTTGAAGAATCAACACCATGTCATAAATGCTAATTTTTTATTCATTTTTACTTTATTTATTTTTTTACAAATCTATTATAAAAATGCTCAGCATCAGTTGAGGGAGAAGGCATTCATTCCCTAAGGGTCAAGTTCTGTTAAATCACATTACTGGATGGCTGATAAAATAATGCTTCTCCAAACAGACTACATGAATGGAGCTGATTTAACAACCTGCAAAGGACTGTTAAAGCTGTCTTAGTAAAATAGCCCTGACTTGCTGCACAGAAATAGGTGGGATGCAATTTCATGGCACGGCAAAAGGAGGCAGAAGAGCTAATGAACTTCTGAGCTCTCAGGTTTTGGAGCCATATGATTAGGAGTATCTTGAAGAGTAGAGTGGGGCTGTGAATGGGGTGTGGGGATGGCTGGTGACGTCGATAAGGGTTCTAAAGTGGTGGAATGAGGAACCCCCATTGGATTATAATTGTACCCGCTAGCTCCGTTAATGCTTTCACCATATCCACTATTCACAAAGTACTCTTTGTTAACACAATTTCGAAGTGAGTCTGGTATACGGCCTACTATAGCTCTTCTAATTTCACTTGCAGCCATTTCACGCAACTCAGTGGAACTGGCATCACTATACCATGCTGCATGTGGAGTACAAATGAGGTTAGGTGCATCTTTCAATGGACCTGAAAGGAAAGATATGAAAAGTTAATCACATAATTTATTAAAAAGGTAATTTTCCCTTGCTTTGAAAATACTTTATTTTAACTAATGGAAGAAACACTTTTCACAGATTAACTCCTCTTAACACTAATTATTCAGTTCTTTTAAACATAAATTCAGTAATATATATATATACACACAAAAATTATAACAAAATGCATGATTATAACTATTACAGTCAAAAGTCGTTAATTCGGACACCCATAATCCGGACCTCAAAGCTAAAAACTTTCTGCGCATGCGCCGAGTTGACACATGCGCATAGGCGTTTACGCGTGCGCGTAAGACCTTTACGACTGCCCATAGGCAGAATACATTTTTGCGTGCATGTTTAATGTTTAACGGACGGTATAAGCTAAAATTATCTAATTATCTATTTCAGTTAATGTTGATGATTGCATTGTTCCTTAATCTTCGAATTGGATGCGGCTTATTATTTTTTGCAGACTTTAAGAGCAATGTTATAAAAGTAAACTTGAACTTTCGATTATGTCAAATAGAATTTCCGATGCTGGAACTCCCAAAGGATCTACAAAACGAAAGTATGTTTTGATGTCCATCAAACAAAAAGTGGAATTGCTGCAAAAAATGGATAAAGACATGAAGAAGGTGACAGAGAGGTTAGTGAAAACGAAAAAATTTCGATTGACAAGTTAGTTGGTATTCTCGGCACAGCAATTAGGGGACTTGAACAGCAGAACTTTGTAACTGAACAAGAAATTATGTCTGTTTATAGAATTAAAGAGAAAGTATTATCACATAAAACGAAGCAACTTACATTGAAAGAAATGTTTAATAAAGTAAACAAATAAATATTAAGCTTTTTTTTTGTAAATTTTGATTTTGATCATAATTGTTATTTATTTCATAAATTCCGGTTTCATATTTTTTAATTTTAGAATTTCTGCATGCCATCTTACGAGATTTAAACTGATGATCTATAATTCGGAAAAATCGATAATTCGGAATCGCCAAAGTCCCGATGAGTCCAGATTAACGACTTTTGACTGTAATAATTTCTGGGAGGTAAAATGCTAAGTACATTAAAAATTGAAATCAAAAGCTTCCTCACAGATGTTTTATTTTCCGTCATATAATTTATCACATGGTGATGAAAGAACTCTTACATTTAAATGTGCTTCAATACCTAAGTCATTTCTGAACTGAATTTTTTTTTTTTTTAAATCGTGGTAAATATTTAATAGTCAATAAAATACTGGTCAAACTATCTGTTTTATAAGTAGCACATTACAATCTACATGAATTAGTTTTCAATTAGTTTGTTTGGTCAAATACATAAGAGAATTCATCCATCTTCACCTATGCGAAATAAACTTTCTGTTATGACTAAACTAGTGATGAATCTTTCACTTATTGTGCTGCCCTTCAAGCAATATTCATGAATAGCAGGTGTCATTACAATTTCAAGAAATGAACTTTAAAAAAGCTTTTTAAACAAGAAACTTCATGGCTAATTTTTAATCTTGCATATTTCAAGCATTTCTCAAATCAAAAATAGTTCACCCACCAAGATTGCTGCACTACAAGGTTTACTCTTTTTGACTGGAATTCTCTGACTGCGAGACACCAGTGACACCTTTTATTTTGCTCCAAAGCAACTACTTTCTACTCCCTTTATGTCTCACTTCCCACTTCCTATTAGCCAAGTGGGAGAAATTAAACAGGCATTCAGATGAGTATAACTTTGTTTTTAATACTAGTAGAAATGGGAATGATTTTGTATACAGTAAACCAGTTATGTCAAAGTCATGACCTTCACTCATTTTTAAGCACCCTGAAAAAATAACTAAAAAGTATAATTATGATATATCAATTAAAAATGGAATTATACCAAATATCAAAACACACATACAACCTATGGGATACTGACTCTTAAATTGAGTACAACTCAACTCTAAAGCAAAGAGACAGTGAAGTGAGTATCCCTGAAATGTATTTGCATTGTATGCAACTTCTACATTTGCTAGCAGTTGTAGAGACATTAGGTATTTTTTGGAAGAAGTCAAGATGAAAAATTAGCAAACGCCTTCGCTGGGAAGTGAACCATGGACCTCTGGAATACCAGCCCAGTGTGCAGACCACCACACCACGAAGGCATGCCAAGAAGGTGGGAGAAATACCTTATACAGTCACTGAGAACAACTTTTCTTACTTGTGAAAAGGAACAAGTCGCCAGCGAGATTCAGGTTAACAAACATCCAACTGACCTCTATTATGAACACTAGTCATTTGAGCAGCATATCTCCAGATAGCTGAAAGTTGGTTGCAGGGAAAAGATGCCAGCAGCTGGGAAATCTAGTTGTGCAGTGATAGTGATTGAAATAAATGCAAAATAATATTAAAAAAAACATTTTTAAAGTCCATCCAATATTGTTTGGAATAAACCACATCTAAAAAATAAAAAAAACAAAAGTACGAAGTACAGCGGCAAACCTCAAGAAATTGTAGGAAAGCAAATATGTCAAAACCAAAAATGATTTTACATCTTTCACTACATCGTCATCAGAGGCCTGGTGCAACAAAAGTAGTAAGTAAACAAAATAGACCAATCCACAAATTTTAAAAGCAAAGTAATCTGTGCTTTTATCAACCCAATTCCTACAGGCTTAAATAAACAGTGCAAAAATTGAAGCATAAAAAGAAATAAATTTAAAACAGTTGAATTTCTACAAAAAAAAAAAAAAAAAAATGTGTATATCATGTTCAACAATGCAAAAATTATAATCCAGTGCTTGAAAAAAAAATAAGCAAATTTTGAAAGCATAGGCCAGGTTAAAAAATAAATGCATATTTCATAAACAAGCCCAAAAGCTTAAAAATATAATAAACATTTTTTAAAATTTTAGTGGACTGAGCCCAAAAACATGTAAAGTAGAAGTAATCCAACAAATTCAAAAATAAGAAAAATGAAAATTTTTTTAAATAACTCCTCCCTGACTATAAAATTTGCCCTTGCTCTGACCTGGCTAATCCCTAAACATAAAACTAATGACAGTTACAGTTTAACTACTGTAAAATTGATTTTATACATCTTTATTGAATTTAACACATTACTCAAAAAATTTTCAAAATTCAAACATCAAAATCTGCTTCAACTACAACAAAAAATTAAGTAGTATCATTACAAACCATAACACAGAACCACATTTGCTTCTGCCATGAATCAAATTTGGAAAAATACATTGATCAGCATCACAAAAGCACATTATTACCAGAAATCTTATACCTTCTTCCTTATATTTTTTATTAATTTAAAAGTTATTAATGTATTTTATAGAAACATCATGTTTAGAATGACATTAAAATCAATATTACTACACTGCATTTCAATAATAAAAATAACATCAAGTCTAATTACAAGGAACTTCACTCAAGAACTTAAAACTCAATTTATTATTACCACTATTGACAAAACTACAATTCTGCATTATTTGTAAGAAGTTCTATCAAAATATTATTAGCAATGAGCTTAATAATAAGATTACTTACCATATCTCTTAAAGCCAAAAAAATTCATTTTGTTATAAACTTGAAACTTTTAACAAAAAAATTAAAAGCATTATCAATTTCAGCAAAATTCTCAAAAAAGCTTATACTGTGGTCCAGAAGCAAACTAATATTGAAATACATAACAATTAGATCATCAGTGATAATCAAAAAGACAATGCTAACATTGCTTTTCAGTGTTAATTGCTAAGATTTTGAAAACTTGTATACCACCTTGCCACTTAATGAAATCAACAATAATTTAACTTCAATCACCTATTTACTAGCATTAAAAACTTAATTTTGATAAATGGGGCTGTACACTTTTTAACAATTTTACTAAATATTAAATTCTACAAATTAATGGTATTCCCATGGGAACCAACTATTCTACTGTCATCTGCAGCCACTTCCTCTTCGTTTAGGAATATAATTTTATCAATTATTACCATAAACCAGAACTTTTTTGATTTACGTAGAAATACACTGATCGCATCATTGCCGTTAATAATTACAATGAAATTGAAAAGCAAGATATTTATCCCAAATGCCTGAAGCTTAATAAAACTAACAAAGAAACCAAGCAGACTATCTTGACCCACAAATTTACTCTATTTGATAAAAGACATTTCAAATTCAAAAAATTAAACAAATTAATTGGAATTCTAACAGCTCTAGAAAAATTATTGCTCACATTCTTATTAATTAAACAAAAAGAATAAAAATACTTGCAATAATAGCAATGATTTTGCAAAAGAGCTTAGTATATTAATCAAAATACTAAAAAATGACAAAACTTACAACTTCATAAAAAAGATGGCTAAAATACAATTGTCAATCTAAACATTACTTTCACAGCTTATTATGAAAAACAGCACCTTTTAAATTGCATCTTGTCAAATTTTAACAGTAATTACAATTTAGATTAGACTGATGAAATATGTTCTAAATTTTGTTGAAATTGTTTGTTGAAATTAAGAATTGTTTTACATTCTCTAAGTTTGTTCAAAATTAATTTGAAACAGCCCTCACTACCGTTTAATTTTTAAATTTATATAGACTCCAAAATATGTAAAAATTTATTATTCTTTCAAAAAAAATTTTTTTGAAGCTTTACAATGTTGAACAGTGATTAAATAATGATTTTTAAAAATTATTTAAGCACTACAACTCAGTCCATTTGTTGAACTTAAAGACTACAACTTTTTCCTTTCATCGAAATGAAGTGAATTAATTTTCCTCTTGAGCTGAAACTGAGATCATTTTGGGATTCATCTTCCAGCAATTATATTTCACTTAAAGACAGACTGACGGTTTTAGCATTCAAAGACCAGGTAATTAGATGTTCTGTTGCAAATTATTCATTTTTACTTCAACAATATAAGTTTTTCTAATTATTTTTACTCAGGTTTAAATTCATTGCATATGTCTCATAGTCATACTATAGTCTCAATAT